AAAACAGGGATATTAGGACCCACCTCATAAGGAAGTCAGAGTAATTAAAGGAGACAGAGCATACAGAGTGCTTGGAACAGTTCCTGACACATAGGGCCAAATTAATGTTCACGATTACTACCATCATCATCATCATTCTAGAATTTTCAAGATGTTTCTCAGACTTTATTCTGCCATCAGGTATAATGGAAGCATCAAGTTTATGAAAGAAAACTATTCATGTGCATATTTCAAAGCCAACCCTAAACTTTCACCTTTGATTAATTCATTTATTCAGGGAGAAAAAATTATGCAGAAGTTGAGATCATTTTAGATGAAGACCTTTTTTTCTCTCAGAAGTGTTATGTAAGTGGCATATGTGTAATGTCTTTGAAGTTTTAAAATGTTTTTACCATGAATAGCAAAACAACTCAAAATACTGACATTTGCTTCTGCAAAGTTCCATGAATTTATTTTCACAAGACACATGAAATATTTATGTTGCTTTACTTTCACCACCAAAATCAATAAGCCATTTGAAAGAAAGAGCCAAGGTCAGACATCAGGTTTCCAGCTGTAAGAGAGAGTTATCAAGCCTGCTTAGAATGAGATGATTCTAAGGTCCAAATCTCATTTCATATTTTTGGTCCATCCTTATATTAAGTCTCGGAATAAAGTCTCCAAAAAAGTCTTTGTGCAAAAAGTTCCATTTTCTATACTTTGACAAGCCAGGAAGGTTTACCCTCATTGAACTGTAAGATGCCCGAGGGTGACTGAAAATAACATAAATGTTATATGTGTAAAACTGAGAGGCTACTCTAGTTCAGAAGAAGGAAGGGAGAGTCCCGTAAAGAATGAGCTGAAGCACATGAAATTGCAACATGTCTTAGCAGACAGAGTTTCATGGTGGCACATCTAACAATTAGAAGGGAGGGTTTCAATGACAGACCTCGAGTAGCCAAAAGGGATCCTACAGAAAAAAAATCAGTAAACAACGGAAGGTCAAATTGTGACAGAACTGATTTTTCAGGCAGAATGTAGGTAATATTGTGCAGACTGTCAGAAACATGCCAACCAAGAGCAAGACATTTAAAACTGAAAATGAGACACTGTTCTGAGGACAACTGTTTTTATTTTCTTTTTTGAACAAAATAGATTTGAAGAAGAAAAAAACCTGAGAGAATATTCAACCTAATGTATATAGTGATTATTACTAGATGATAGGTAGGAATGCTTTTTATATTTTTAATAATGTATTTATTATCTGTACTATATTTCCAAGTCTTCTGTAACAAAAAATATATTACTTTTATTTTTAACCACAAAATTTTTTTTAACAAAATGGATGAGATCAGCCATCCAATTGTAATATGGGACAATCTAGGACAATATATGCAGATTGTTTTAGTCCGTTTTGTGTTGCTATAACAGAAATACCTGAGACTGGGTAATTTATAAAGGAAAGAGGTTTATTTGGCTTACAATTCCGGGACAACTGCGTCTGGCACGGGCCTCAGGCTGCTTCCACTCATGGCGGAAAGTGGCAGGCAGCCAGCGGGTACAAGCAGATCACATGGTGACAGGAAGCAAGAGAGAGAGAGAAGGTGCCAGGGTCCTTTTAAGCAACAAGCTCTCGTGGGAACTAACAGAGCAAGAACTCACTCATTAATCCCCCCTCCCCCAGGGAAAGCATTAATCCATTCATGAGGGATCTGCCCCTATGACTCAATCAGTTTCCAACACTGCCACATTGGAGATCAAATTTCCACATGAGTTTTGGAGGGGAAAACACATCCAGACTCCATCACAGATATTTACTAAATTTCCCCCATTAGAATCAGGACTCTCATGGAAGAGAACTTACTGTTCTTTGGAACCTTGGTGTCTAGCACAGGGCCTAAAATACAAGTCACATTTATTTAAAACTGTTCAGCAAATGAATTCTGGATATGGCCAAAAACTCAAAAAAGGTGACCCTGATATAGCTTCAGGATGGTGCAAAACTGGCCTGGCTCTGCCACCAGCATCAAGCAGCCAGGACTTGCCTAGGCAGCCTCCTGTTGTGAATGGTTCCCTCCTCGGGTATATGCTGATCATCCTGAAAATGCATTAGCCTACATTATAGCTTAAAGTCCCTTGTTATTAAAATCTTCTGGTAAGGTAAGTCCCTTGTCCCTTGCCACCTAGCTCTCCTCTTTTTGTATAGCCATGCTGTTTTGCCCAGATCTTGCTCTGAAGAAAGCGATAAGAAATACCATCATGATGTTCCCTTTAGTATTTCTCATAGAAATGTCAACTTTAGGAGTACCCATGGGAAAAGTTTGTCTCAGATCTCAGTGCCATTAAAAAATAACTACTTCTCAGAGCAAATAACACATTTTAATGTTATGAGCACTAGGCATCTTGTAATTGGTCTCTTATCTCTCTGCTTGAAGCTAAGAGCCAAATCGACGGCCCTCCTTTGGTTACTTTGTAGGACCGCAAGACATGCACGACTGGAAGCTAACTTCAGCACTAGGCATCTTGTAATTGGTCTCTTATCTCTCTGCTTGAAGCTAAGAGCCAAATCGACAGCCCTCCTTTGGTTACTTTGTAGGACCGCAAGACATGCACGACTGGAAGCTAACTTCTCCTCTGGCTTCCTTGTTATTCTTCCCTCCCTCTACACAATCTTGCTTTCTTTTTTCCTGTCTACCAGATAATTTGTATTTGTGAAGTCCTTTTGGGATAAGGCAGGATATAAACAAACCAAGAAAGCAAAAACTAAGCACATCTCCCCCCTTCAATTCCAAGCTTGCTTTGGACGTTTCACACATGTAGCTTGCTTACAGGACAAGAAGGTGAAGTGCAACACCACTCTCCTGGCTGCTACCAACCAGGGGGACCTTTATATGCCCTGTGAGAAGAAAGTCCAATTGAGGACCAGAGGCCCCTTCCTTCCCACTTCCTTTCTACCACCTCTAAAATACACACGACTACTAGTATAAATGGTGCACTATGACCTAAGGCAGTAGAGCATCATGTTTAAGAGCACAAACTCCAGTACAAGACTACCTGGGTTCTAATCCTGCCTGCTACCTGCCCCTGGCCCCCCGCTGCTGACTTTAGACAAGTTAACTAACTTTTCTGTGCCTTGCCTTCATTTCTCCACCTGTGCAATGGGAACAATAATGGTACTGACCTCATAATGTTGTCAGGAAGAGTAAATGAGTTAATACATGTAAAAGTGACTAGACCAGTGCCCAGCACACAGTGAATGTGGGTCAGTACTATAATAGGACACTCCTATTTTCAATTACACCAGCTCACATAAAGTCTCAAGTCTGACTGATGGTAATATTTCTCATCGTAAACTACGAAATCAATAAACAAACTGATTTCTATGGTGACTTTATTCGTGTTTGGATCTCATTTATAAATTAGCATGGAGTCGAAGTGTTCTCTAAACAAGTCATGTTTAACCCTGTGCTTTCTGATTTGCTGAAGAGAAAAAGAAAGCAGTGATGTCAGACAACAAAAATGGTTCCTGGGAATGTATCCCCATTTGGTAACAGGATGATCCCGAAGCCACATCCAAGTTTTCATGAATACACAAATACACGCTCGTGTGCACATACACACCCCCGTCCATGTTTCTCCAGATGCAACACAGACATCACTCAATATGCCTGCAGAGACAAAGTACCGCATTTTGTTTGGTTATCAAAGAACAACTCTGCTTTGTTGGATGCTTGAAGTCCTGATTTACATCTGAGTTTAGAAAGCTGCTACTTCATACATATGCACTTAAAATGCAAATCTCAACAGATTCCACCTCTGACCCAGCGCAGAGCCTAACTCCAGCCACGCCCCATGTTTGTTCTCGGCAGAGCCGGTCTCAGCAATACCCTTCACACCGAGCCCACCAACAGTTAAGTCCTCAGTGAATAGATGCATGTCCATAATTTTCAAGTAAAAGGACTTGATACTGCCACAGTATGATCGCAGAGAAAGAAAACTGGATAATTATGAAAGTTGTAGTGCTTGGCCAAAGTTAAAAATCAAGACAAAAAAATTACTGCAACTCTATCTCTTGCAAAGAAAGTTACTTCAAAATTTGACGTCAATGGATTAAGCTTCGGCCTTTGCTATTCCGAAGTTACACGAGATGGGAAGGAAAAACCTGCGAGTACATCAGAACCGTTCATCTTCCACTTCCTGCTCAAATGAGTGCGCCTACGAGTTCGACACAGTATTGAATTAAACTACGTCTGTCCCTTTACATTCTCGTTTCTCCATAGTACAGAAGATATTCTAAGCACAAAATCAGAAATGAACAAGTATCATCAGCCAAGAAAACTGCTTTGAGGAATTTAGTAATGTCACCCCTCTCCAGCTTAGCTCGCCAAAGTCGGAGCAGCGGAGGCAAAGGACATGCCCTGCAGGGTAAAGTGACACTTCCGAATAGTAAGAGCCGAGATTTCTCTGCCGCAGCCTAACTTGTCGCCGGGAGCACGAGCGCAGCGTTTCCTAAACGCTCTTCTCAAGGTCTCGAGGTCAACTGCAAACGCTGTTCCAGTCCCGGAGGAGCCTCGTCCTCCCGCCCCGCCCTGCAGGCCCCGCACTTCCCGTTCGCTCGGGCCGGTCCAGAGCTCTAAGTTGACAGTGACACACGTTGAGGAAAGAGGAAGTGGCTAAAGACCGTTTCAAGACCTATTTATTTAATTTTTTTAAAAGGGAGATCAATGGCCCTGTCTTCCCGAAAGCTTCAAAGGGACGTTGCCATCACACCCGCTGGAAAAGTTGCAGCGAATGACAATGTAGCAAAACCAAGGGCGACTTCTCCTTAAACATGTCGTTTAAAAACCCTCGAGCTCCTCGTGCTATCAGCAGCGATTCGTCCCCTACGGCGAACGCCAGCACGCTAAGGGCTCCCAGGCCGGTGGGTTCGGGGCCGGTGCGTGCCCGGTCCGCCCTGCCAAGTGGCAGAGGAAGCGCCGGGCACGGCGGCGGCCGGGGGACCCGGCGAGCGCCTCCCTTACCTGGTTTGACTGGTTTGGGTGGCGGCTTCGACATCTCGCCTCCTTGAGCGGCTAATCGTAAAGACCCCGCACGAAAAGCCGACCGATCGCCCTGCCGGCCGGCACTCCTGGCGTCCCCAACTTTCCTTCTGTCTGGTTGGCAGCGGTTGCGCCTCGCAGGACCTGCGCCCAGCCTTGGCTATGGCAAGAGCGGACGCAGCCACAGCGGAC